GACACGTGAAATTTTACGAGGATTTTCCCGTCCAAGTAGGTATTAATGAGCTCAAACCCAGCCGCCGGGCAAGCGTGATACCCACGTACGGGTCCGTGAAAGTTTTCGGGTAAGTTCATAACTCGGGGATCTGAAAAGCAAGAAGGCTGAAATTTTTAGGGGACGTTCTCTGTCCACGCAAGTCTTAACGAGTTTCAAATCAGTCTCCGGATACGCGTGGTACCTACTTACGGGCCCGCCAAAGTCTTTTTCGGGCAAGTTGATAACTCGAGTACCTGAAAAACTAAAGGATTGTAATTTTAAGAGAATATCCCCCGTCCACCTAAGTTTCACTCAGCTCAAACCCAGCCCTCATGTATGGTAATTTGCTAACTCGAGAACCTGAAAGACTAAAAGACTGTAATTTTAAGAGGATGTTCCTCGTCCACGTAATTCTCAACGAGCTCAAATCGAGGCATCGGGTAGGCGTCGTACCCACGTACGGCCCGTGAAACTTTTTTTCCAGTAAGTTGCTAACTCAGGAGCCAGGAAAGCTAGAAAGCTGAAATTTTGGGGGTGGTGTTTCCTGACAGTTCTCGCGGGCAGTCTTAATTTGTTTAGCTAGAAGCATTTGCCGGAAAAACTGATGCCGGGAGCGAAAAAAACTGCGGGGAGCTATGCAAAAACGCACCTTCGCACGAGCAGCCCGTGCGTTGGCCAATTATTTTTATTCATGTGCGAACCGACAAATTAAAATTTAGCTCTCATGAACGCCCAAGTTTCAAGCATGGGCACCTGAAATTTCGTATTTTTACGCAAACCAAACTGTAAAGCGATTAATATTGCAAACAGCAACTGCCAGCTGGGCAGAATTGCGCAATATGCATGGTCGCACCGGCCGCCCTAGTACATACCACTATTTATATTATGCGTTTTGCGTTGTGTAAAAGCAGTACAAAACGCATATTTTCATAGGGTTGTCTGTGCGTTTGTGTGTTTGTGCCCACAGCAACTTGTCCGTAACTTTCATCTCGCGAACCACAAAAGCCTGGGAGCTGAAAATTTAGGGGAAAGTTTCCAAACCACGTGTGTCCCAGCAAATTCAAATCCAGCCTCCCCGTACCCGCGAGTAACACTTACAGCCCCGTAAAAGTTTTGGCGGACAAAATTATTATCACGGGAACCACGGGAGCTAGGCTGAAATTTCGCACACCCAAGTGCGACCCAAAAAATTAAAATTCAGCTTCTCTGCTCGCGGGTATCATTTACGACTCTGTGAAAATTTTGGCGGGTAAATTATTATCTCGGAA